GTAAGTAGTATATAATATATATATATATATATATATATTATATACTATTTCTCTTCTTTTCTTTCACTTCAAAAGCATGAAAATGCCTGTAAAAACAAAGAAATATCAACCATTAAACCTCCAGCGGGAAAAAGAAAAAGAAAAAGAAAACTCAAAACTAAAAACAAGATTTTAACACGTTTTAATTCTCTTGTTTGATTCAGAAAATTAAGGACCAAGAGAATGGAGCGTACACTGAAGCAGGTAGTGTATCTTTGCTGCCCTCGATCATCCATCAACCTTCTAAGTCTTTCAAGCATATCTTTTCCTGTGAAGATCCTTCCTGGCGAGCTCAAGAAGGCGGTTCGTCTAACAGGAGGAGACCAAATCCCACTCTGCTTGTAATCAAAGTAGTACTCAGACACATCAAAGAACTTCTCAAGAAGTCTGTCTGATATGGGCTTTGACACCACCTGAATCCTGGCCGTAGATGACCCCGGTGTCCAAGGCAAAGAAGAAGAGGAAGAGAAACCAGAGCTAGACATTGGAGAAAATGATACAATAATTATAATGATAATAACAAGCTCTCAAGCTTGGGATTGGGTGATATATGGAAAAATAAAGAAGACAATAAAATTGTGATAAGGGCGCGTTTGGCTGTATGTTACATTATTTAGGCTTGTTTAAGGTTTTGAAGTTAATAGATATTAATTTGACTAAATTGATATTGGTTTTCTGTGTTGTGATGAGACTTGACTTGAGATTCAAGTAATTGTAGAATCCTAAAAGTCTTAATAATGGTGAAGTTAATACATATTAATTTGACTAAATTGGCATTGGTTTTATGTGTTGTGATGAGACTTGACTTGAGATTCAAATAATTATAGAATCCTAGAAGTCTTAATAATAGTTGAGTAAGAAATTCTCACATTTAAGATATAATAAATAAATATGTGTAAATATAAAAATTTTTACTCTATTTATTGTTAATTCAACATAGAGTTATATTTGATGTGGATTTCTAAACTCACCTTGCAACTTTTAATTGCTAATAAACTCTACAATTATTCAAATCACTCATTATTAATATATATAATTAAGATAAAACTTAAATTCACTTAAATCAAATAATTTTATTAAACTTTACTAATTTTTCTTTTTAGCCCCCTTTTTTGCAAACCAAAAATAATTAGTGGCACCCATATGAAAATTTTCAACACTGATTAGATGTCGTTAAGTTGAGGCACATGGGCTTGCCAGGTTGTCATTAGCTAGTGTTTGATTTCCTTTCTTAAAAAAATACTATTTTTAGGATTATGTAAAAATATTTTGATACACATATTTTAAATTTACAATAGATAAAGAAAAAAGTGATAGTTTTATTTTTTTAAAATAATTTTTAATCTATAGAATTTTCTTTTCACCTCTTTTGAAAGAAAAAAAAAATTTCCTATAACTTTTCTTATATTGTGTTTGCTTAACAATTTTTTTTACTAATTTTTTCTATATCAATTTCTTACCAAACATAATAAAATTAATAATCTAACAAAATTTTAACAAATTTTCAATATAAAATTTAGCAACTTTCCATGTGATACATTTTCAATCACTTAATAAAATCTTTCCTAAAAAAATTAACCTCTAACCAAACACAGCCTTGGTTTCGATTCTTTCGATCATAAATGTCGGCAAACAGCAGACTCTCTTGTAAGTGCCGAAACAAAGGCCAGAATAATGTCATGGATTGCTGCAAGCCACGTACAGCATTTTGATGCAAAATCCAAAGCATAACTTTGGGCCAACAGTTTCATCGGATACTTACATTTACAATTGCGTACTCAATAGCGTTGACAATTATTTCAAGTAGGGCCCTGAATTGCGACCGAAATGCATGCAATTTCAAACCATTAATGAAGGGTCAGTCTGTGTGATGCAGAAAAAGCAGAAGTGATATTGTAATGAATTATTTGCCCGCTGTCACAGCACTCTCTGCTTTTGCAGTAATGAATCGACTTGGTGGTAGGAACTTAAAACATCATGGGACACGGATGTTCATGATTACAAAGCAAAAGAAGAAAAGAAGAAACTACATGGAAAGTTTGAGCTGTAAGCCAATAATTAACACATGGTGGTCATCGATGTGGTTATGGTTATTTAAAATTTTATTAAAGTTGAAGAAGTTTTTTTTTTTTTTTGTTCTCTCCTGTGCTTTGCCTAGGGTTGGGGGCCATGGTGACGGGTCTCTTCCTAGGGTTTTTCTTTGGTTAGGAGTTCCTCCCTCTTTCTCTCATTTTCTGACAAGGGTTTCTCCTCTTGTTCTTTTCCTTTATCATTGTCATCTGTCTTGCTTTGGAAACTTCAATTTAAAGGACCACAAGGCAGCAACTCCTGTCGATTGACATTGACTATTGATTTTTTATGATTGTGTTTGGATATAGAGGGACTTGCTCTTGTCAGTGGTTGGATTTCTCCCATTCACTAAGTCAGATTTTCACTTCGGCATGTCTCCTTAGATGAGATCTTGGCGAGGGTTGCATTCGAAGAAACTAGTGCACTCCAATTTATGATTGGGTAGCCAAATATCAAAGGACATGGCTGTTGCTAGCACTTTGGGTTCTGATCTGCACAAGAAGCATGCTACTCACGTTGGCAAAGGGGCTCTAGTTCCCTTAACAAGCTTTGCCAGCAAAGGTTTTCAGAGGATCAAGAATGATGGGCACATGATTGGAAGTATTCGGCAGAGATTGGGAAGGCTTGTGTTTGTTCAAAGACTTGGCAAAGAGGAACAGGATGCCATTGGTGAAGTTGATTATGTTTTGCAAAGGGCTCTAATTCCTTTCCACAGTTTGGGCAGCAAGGGACTGAGGAGGATTGGTAAAGCGGAGACACAAGCTTGTGTTGAAGGGATCCTTACCCCTCCTCTTGTTGGGTAATTTTGAGATAGGGTGGCAACCTGCAGGTTGGGGACTATATGTTATTGGAATCCCTGCTCTCCTCATGAAACTGGTTAAATAGATGAGAAAGTCCAGTAGCTTTGATGCTCATAGCGACTCTCTTTTCTACATTTGTAGTCCTATTTAACCTATACAGCGATTGCATTTGCAATTTTTAGTTGTAAATGGCTCTTTTTTTACTTAATTATCTATATTTGACATGGGTATAGTTTAAATATACTATTAGTACTGTAGGTTATACTTCTAATTTTATTTTTATGTTATAATGCTTTAGGCTATATGCCTACGATGGAGATTTCTTCTGTATTTTCTTATTATTTAATATAATTTTCTTCATTTCCTATAAAATTTTTTTTATTAAGGTTACATAAATTTTATTCAGTTTAATTGATCATTTTAATTTTTTATTAAATAATTATAAATTAATTTTAATTTATTAAATAATAAATATTAATTATTTTATTAATTATTAATTATTTTTAATAATTAAATCAAACAAAATTAATACTTTTTTAATAATATTATACAATTTTAACAAATTAATACGTAACAATAATCATATCCTGATCTAGCCAATAATAAATTTAGCTTAAATGTTCAAGGTGAAAGTTCTAATTTCTTTAAATCTCATAGTTTTGAGTTTTCATTAAGTGTAACTATGCAACTTTGGTTAAGCAAACCAAAGAAAAAAAATGTAACTTCCATTTATTTTAATATTGGTTATTTTCTAATTTGTAATTAGCCACTATTTTCTTTTGCATTTCCCTACCAAAAAAATCTTCTACAGTGAACAAACTTAGAGTAAATGTGCAAATAAAGATTTCAACTTTGTACTTTTTTCTATTTAAGAATGTTAATTTTGTCAGTTTTTAAATAAGAATGTTAATTTTCAATTTTTTTCTAAATAAGGATGTTAACTTTATCAATTTCTAAATAGGGATGTCAACTTTCAATATTTTCTATTTAAGGATGTCAACTTTTAACTTTTTCTATTTAAGGATTAATTGAATAGTGATGCTGGCGTGGCTAACATATTTTTTTAGGTTAAATATTTGAATTGGTCCCTCGACCTCGACTTTTATTTTTGAACCAATTCATCTTTAAATTTCAAAAAGTACCAAAAACGTTCTTCAACTTCAATTTTCAATTTCATCTTTCCGTCAATTAAATGTTGATGTATCTAATTTTTTTGTTGAGTGATTGACTATTTTACATTTTTAATATTAGGTGGAAAATCCATCATGTAAAAGATGATTATGTGGATTTTTTAAATTTTAAATAATTTACAAACT